GCCAGGCATGGTGGTGAATGCCTGTAATCCCAGTGGCTCTGGAGTCTGAGGCAGAAGGATCAAGAGTTCAAAGCCAGCCTCATCAACTTGGTGACACCATAAGTAACTTAGCAAGACTCTGTCTCAAGACAAAAAGGGCTGGGGATGTGGCTCAGTGGTTCAGCATCCCTGMTACCAAAACCAAACCAAACCAAACCAAAACCCTGATAAAATAGGTGAGGCATGCAAATGAAATGTACTTAGAGGTAAACACATATTTTTGAATGTTTTCTTTAAAACATGGCAAGAGATATTGAACTTAAATGGATGATACCCAGCTCAAAAAGTTAGAAAAATAACAGTAATTTTGAGGTTAGTTGAATAGAAATCAATGACAAGGAGAAAGAAAATTCATGAGAATACTATGACAATTTGGAAAACCAGCAAGGCTGGGAGATTGGATCTGCCAGATATCAGAACTTACTTATGGAGACAGTGAAATTTCTTTTTCATATTTATTTTTTAGTTGTAGTTGGACACAATACCTTTATTTATTTATTTATTTTTACGTGGTGCTGAGGATTGAACTCAGGGCCTCGCACGTGCTAGGGGAGTACTCTACGGCTGAGCCACAACCTCAGCCTGAGACAGTGAAATTAACACTGGTATTCAGTATTTTTTTTGCATAAATAAATATACCAATGAAATAGAGAGACARTGATCAGCTASAATGTACATGGAAACCATATGACTTTGTAAGTCAGTAAAAATAAAAAAAGACTAAGCTATTCAATAAGAGATGCTGGCACAACCAGATATCCAAATGGGGGAAAAATTGGGCTGAAATCTAATACTATACTAAAATATAATAGTAAAATTAAATGTGAAAAACAAGACTTGAAGGAAATGTAGGAAAATACATTAAAGACATTAGAAACATTTCTTAAGCAGGACTCCAAGCAAAAATTGTTGAAGGAAATATTTCTCATTTTTGATATTGAWATTCAAAACTTCTGTAAAACAAATCACATCATAAACAAGGTTGGTGCATGACGAGCTGTACACCAGGAGAAGATTATCTATTCCAGAATTTGTATTCTGAATATAAAAAGAACTTCTATGTAGCAATTACAAATGCACATAAATTAGAAAAAAATGCCCAAAGGGTGGAAACCAGTAAATTATAGATGAGGAACCTGGAATGAACAAAGTTTGAGAAAGGTACTAGTAACTTCATATTAATAGTATCAGGTGGGGTAGGTAGAAATTAGCACGACAATGGATATCACTTGATACTCATCAAAAATTTAAAAATCTGAAAATGCCAAGTCTTGGCAAGATCTAGTGAACTAGGTGTCACACTGTAATTTGTATCAACTCTTTTGGGAAATGTGTTAGTTGACTGCACACCTCTTGTGACCCAAGCAAGGCATACAGTCCAGGGCACGTGACCACTTGCAAATATGTTGGTGTCTATACTGTTGGGCTCAGCTAAGCAATGACCAGGAGTAGAGTGGATGAATAAGTATCAATCCTTTCATTCACTGAAGTTCTTTTTTCAAAGGTTTCAGTGATTTACCTACTAAGGATTACTGAAATCAAAGTCTTGTTTTTGTCACTGACTGTATACAGACTTGGGCAAGTTCCTTATCCTGCAAGGTCTTAGATTCCTTGGTGCACAAAGGAGGGACTAGAAACAGCTATTTCAATCAGAATAACCCATGTAAGTTTTAGAAACCTACATGCCTGTACCCCTTCTCAGACWTATTGCATCAGAGACCCAAAGTGCGGACACACTCAACCCCCCTTCTGTAACAGTRATTTTACCCCCTCAGTGGGGAGCTGGGCAGCTGAGACATGAATTTCATTCATAGAATCTTTTACAAATACAGCTTCTCATTCCCCCTGTTTTCATTCTTGAGTTGTGGGTTGCACTGAGGATTTCCAAGTCTCCATCTCAGTAGCATTCTGGAAGCAGAAGCCKTCTTGCTAATACTCCTGTCTCCACAGGGTAAGCAGTTACACTTAAACCAGCAAATAATCCCAGAGGACATATGGTTCTTGTAGTTAAGAGGGTGGACAATGCTGTCGACCTGGGCTCAACTCTGCACTCCTGCCCTTACAAGTTGCGTGACTCTGGGGAGTTACTTATATATTAGTCAGGTTTTGTGTCTCTGTGATGAAAATACMCAACAACAACAACTTAGGGGAGGAAAAGTTCATTTTCAGTCCATGGTGATTTGAGTCTATTGCTCTGGACCAAGGTGAGGCAGAACATCATGGCAGAAGGGTGCTTATGCTCCACTCATGGAAGCCAGGAGTTGGTGGGGGGAGCAGGGGAGAGAGAGCGAGTGCAAGCAAACAGAGGGAAGGGAACACAGGGAAGATGCACCCCTCCAGGAGACAAAGTGGAGGGTAGGGTGTAATATTTCCTTCAGCACTGATGTCTAGAGGCCTTGTCTGCTTGCTTTTTTGGAGTCCATGGAGCCAGATATGGGAGAAAATTTGCAAATATATTACAAAATTGCAATCCTTTGGGGGTCTAGAATCTCAGAAAAATTAAACAGACCTGCATATTTTGCATCCACCACAGCTGAACAGCCAGGGTAGGGGAATTCCAGTGAACTAGGTGACCCCCGMAACTGCCCAAATATCCACCTTGTAAAATATCCATTTTTTTTTAAARCTGCTAATTAGGAAGTTGTTCCAGCTGTAGAGCAAGAACATTGTTCATGGAATCCTTTTACATTTGGTGGAGCTCCTCAATATTTTATAATTTATATATATACTGACATATACAAACATGTATAAGTTGCAAAATTAGTATATATAGTAATTTTATATAATAATAATTATATATATATATATAATTATTTTGCACACACACACACACACACACACACACACACAGCTAGAGATCAAAACCTGGGCCTCACACATGTTACACAAATGCTTTACCATTTTTAAATTGTTAAAAAAGACACCATGGTGTGGGGATTTAGGTAAATCTCCCCCACGGTGTCTTTCTTATAAATTTCCTTACCTTATGAATTCATGTCTTAATGCTAATGATAATTTGACATTTATTTCTAATTGAGGTATTAACGATTATATGAATTAAAAATGTATTCTCTCTTTTAAAAATAATCTGAGAACTTCTCAGTGCCTCCCAAGATAACTTGGAAATGCATTATATCTCATCGTTCTCATGGTTCTCATGGCATTGTAGACAAGGTTCAATGTAAGCATTTGGCTAGGCCTTGTCACAGGGCAGAGTGTTTTCTGAGCCTTGTTTTTCATGAAGCTCTGGAAATTGCCACCAAATGYAAAGGAAACAGAAAGAAAGTCTTAGGACTGTTCATTCTCTAACCAGGGCTCCCAGCCACTGCCCTTGCCTCTAGTCTCATGCCCTTTCCTGAGGTGGATGAATTCAAAAAGCAGGACGGTGATGAGAAGGTACAGTGGGGACCCAACTCAGGACTTATGAAAGGGCTTTACCTCCAGGAGGAGATTTTAAGAATATGTCCATATGTGTCTATGCATAGAAAAAGCATCTTGAAATATTTTTAAAGGGTGGAAATTGAAATCTCAAGCACAGCATAAAACAGATAAGCAGGGAAATATTTGCAGAGTGACCAAGTGGTGAATTTTCATTGTTGACTAATGAGATTCATTGATATCAGGTGTGTGGTTGGTGCTTGAACCTGATAAAGCAGTTTGCTGGGGTGTGTCAAAGATATGGGCATGATCTGTGCAGATGTGATCATTTGGAAAAGAGATTTCCACATCTTAGAACCAATATAAAGGGTAGAAGCTAGACCAGGCAGCTTTACTTGCTCCAGTACCTTCTTCCCGTCAGGCAAAATGAAAATTCTTGTGAGTATTTATTTATACTTCTTGATATTCTTGTGATGGGTTGCTTGCAGAGAATGTTCATGTGCAATATGTCAAAGATTTCAGGGGTCTTAGACTCTGTTCATGCTTCTAAGCTTCTGTTATTGAATTCATAATGTCTTTGGCAGAAATAGTGCTGAGTATTAAGTTGAATATTTGTGTGTCCCTTGTCTATTTTTTCTTTCTTTCTTTCTTTTTTCTTTTCTTTTTTTTTTTTTGGTGTTTACTTAAAAAGAAAAGAAAAAAATGGATATATGTTGGTAATTTTAATTTGGAAGATGTTTAATATTAATCCTTTATCTCAAGTGTTGTTAGTAAGGTAGGCATTTAAGAAAAATTACATTTACTATTTTTWAAAAAAGAGAAGTGGTAATTTTTTAAAAAATGCCAGTAACAGTAATAATAGCAGCTATAGTATTAAACCACATCTAGAATTTCAAATGCATATTAAATTGTAGGCTAATCTTTCACAGGAATAATTCCATCTATTTATTGCCTCAACCCTGTAAGCTAGATAGTATTATCCTCATTTTCTAGATCAGTAGACATAGAAGAGTGCAAATTTTTCAAACCCATGAATGAGGGATTTAGGATGTAATTTATCCAGGTTAAGTCTTGCTTATAGGAGCAGCCAGGCAAAATCTAAGCAGTGAGTGTCAACAGGTCTACTCATCATGTCTAAACTCTCCCTTAAGGCAAAGCATTCCTTCCCTGAGTGACCCCACTCCTCCATCTGATCCCAGTCTCCWTAGTGCCACACTGATTCAGAAGGGGGTTCCTTCCTCTAGCCTCTGTCTCTTCTTCTCATTCAGTTGCTAAGGGAGAAAGCAAAGTGTTAAGCCATAAAGGCTGTGAGTTTGAAGAGTTCCTCTCCCAGGGCTTGCTTGATTTTCTAAGAGGAAAATTTTATAACAGGGTGCATTAATGATGGTATTGAGTGGGAGATTATTTGGGGGCAGAGGACCCTCCCTGAGCTCCTTCTRATCATATTAGTAAAGTGGGCTGTTCATCATCTTATTCAAATCTCTCTTCTAAATCAACTAAATAGAATGGAGCATCACAGGTTGATAGAGCAGYCTTGGGGTAGAGAAGGTGAGCCTCTGAGTAAGTGGGGCACGCTGGATATTTGCAGCGCGTCTTAATTAGCTGCTCCAACCCCAATGACAAACGTGAGGAGTGAAATGAAAAAGGACGTAAAAAGTCCCACTGACAGTTCTTAAAAGTATCTGCCCTTCCCACAGATCTTCTCCATTGGAAGCTTTCAAYGTTAGTGTCGTTCACTACGATGCCCTGGAGAGAGAGCACGATTAATGTCGACTAAGGTCATCACATTAGGTTGTTGAGCATATCTGCAAAATATCAGATCTGCCTCCATGTCAGGCTTGCAGTGTGCTGGCCCAGCACTCACCTGATAAAACCACAAGAGCATGGGTTAGCAGGATATGGAGATTTTCCTTGATGCCAGACTCAAATGTTAACTGTATTCTTAAGCATCCTAGCTTCATAGTTTCTGTTAGAAATCCATTGTGTTTTTTCCCATTCATGAATCTATTTTAAGTGTATTTTACCCTCTCAGTATCAAGGGATTAAAGATCTTCTTTTTTAATTTTTTATTTGTTTTAATTAAGTTACACATGACAGTGCAATGATCTTGACATTATCATACATTTGAATCAAATGGGGCATAATTTTTCATTTGAATCAAATGGGGCATAATTTCTTGTACAGTTTGCAAGATCACATTGGTCATATAGTCACGTCTATACATACAGCAATAATAGTGTCTAAAGATCTTCTTTTTTAACCCGGAGGACATCATTGTTCACAAGTAATCCAAAGCCAGTATGAATTATTTTGGGATATACTCCTAGGAAAATAAGGTCTTCCACTCTATTCACCAGCCCCCAGTTTTTTCTGCTATCTAGAGGGTGATAAAGTTGGGACTTAAGTGGCAAGGGGCCTTGTGTCTTATAAATGGTATAAACTCAACAAATGCCTTTGAGTGTGTGAATGTGTGTGTTTTCCACTTTGGAAGTGGACTGCTTTCCACTTTTTGACACCTACCAGTGTGTCTAGGTGTCTGGGTCTACCCCTCTGGTTCCAACCCTCAGTGACTACCCGACAAGGAATGAATGTGACTGCTCTCTTTTTTCAGGTGGCATTTCTGGTGGTGCTGGCCATCTTTGGGACACAGTCRCATGGATATGAGGTAAACTGTTTCCTTAGAAATGTTGGGAGGTGAAAAGGAAGATAAAAGAGAATCTGAAGGACAGTAGAGAGTCCATGTGCCCTGAGATGGAATCCCGGAAATAGCCAATAAGGAAAATGATGGGGTGATCATTTCTAACTGCAAAGCCTTCACCAATGTAACCCATTCCTTTAAAATGTGGTCAGTCTCCTGTGATATCATTTCTTCTCCTTTTTATGATACAGTAAACTGAAGAAAAGCTTGGCGTTCTTATCTTAGCATGGGCTTTGGACTAGGATTCCAAGGAAGAAGTTTTAGCTTTTAATGACTTGCTCGAAGTAATTAGAAAGCTTTATTTTGCTGAAAGACCTGCCTTTCAAATGCATGTGATTTATGGAAAACCCATCATATCTTTGTTGTCAATTCTAGGTTTATAACATCATCAGCCCAGGCAACAATGGTGGCAATGTTCAGGAAACAGTGACGATTGACAATGAAAAAAATACTGCTACCGTTGACATCCATGCTGGATCATGTTCTTCCACCACGATTTTTGACTATAAACATGTAAGCAGCAAGAGGGTTTTTGTTTTCTTCAACACTGRTTTTCTAAGGGGCAGAGGGACAGCTGCTTACTGTGTATTTACATTCCAGGGTTTGTCTCTGCARTTCCTTATAAATTTCCTCACCTCTGCTTTTCCCTTGAAATAATCTAGCGATTTATTAACAAAGAAGCAAATGGAATCACTTCTAAGAAACAATATGATAGAAATCATTTGCATGGTCATGACCTTTTAAGGCAGAAAGTGGAAGAGCCATGTGCTGCTGTTCATTAAGGCTCAGAAAGTACATAGCGTAAGAGAGTGACCAAAGCAAAGCCCAGCACAGAGACTCTCAAAATACTTGTTGAATGGATAAACAAATAAATCAGAGCTCCTAATGCAAAACACGATGTAGAAAAAGAACAACCACAAGGCAATCACACCATAGCAGAAAATCAGAGCAACTTTATACCATTTAATTATGTATATAGGATAAGTAATGTCACATTTTTATAAGAAGGTGCTTCCAAGTTTTAGTGACTAGCATTAAAAATACATCTCAGAAACTGCTCAGAAAACTTATTCTGTCTTTCATCCATTTATCCATTTGTTATACCAACATTAGTGATGGCCCTTTGTTTTTTTAACCTGAGTACAGAGATGTGCACAATAGATATAAGTAGGTTGTAGCTAATCTCATTGGTCATTTAAAGAGGCTTTTTTTTTTCTCCATTTCTTCTAGAAACCTCCTCACATGCTTACTTACTTCCCCCTTGTGTTGAGAGTGCCATGGCACATTTGAAAGTATGGAGTCTTTGCAAGATACACTTTAGAAGGAAGTGGTTCTAAAATTCTTACAAAGCAAATGTCACGGAAATCCCCCAAATGTTTAAAAAACTAGAGTGGTAAGCCCCTTACACTGTCCTCAGCCTTGCCTTCAGCATATTTTTGAGTTTTAGAAACTAGAAATTTGTTAGAATTGAAAAATAGGAACTATTATAAGAGTTCCTATTAGATACAACCTTATGGAGTATATGATTATTTAAAACTGTGTAGAGAAAAGTTTCACTCAAGATGAAAATTCAATGGCTTAGGTGYTTTTTGGCTCCACGGTCCCCATGTTCCAAGGTTCTTCACATCCCTACTTTCTCAAACTAATTCCTCTTCAGCCAATTTGGATTTGAAGTGGAGATAGGATGGAGAAAAAAAGAAGGCAAGAAGTTGGTGAAGCATGTGTGCAGGTGTGAGGGTAGGGGTAGGAACACTTAGAGAGCTCTAAAGCACCGTTGTCTGACAGAACCTACTTTGTGTAATGGTGGAAATGTCCTATATCTGCATTTTCCTGGAGGGAAGCCTCTATCCAGCCACTTGTTGTGACTGAACACTCAAAATATGTGATGGAGGAAGCACATTTAAAGTGTTATCTAATTTGAATTTAAATAACCGTRTGTGACTAGCAACTACAATACTGAACACCACAATTCTGAAGAATGTTGTATTTTATTCCAAAGTGGGGGAAAAGCAACATAAAGCCTATCAAAAAAACACAAGATGGCTGTGTCTCAATCTTTCAAACTCCAAACTGCAGATCCCGATCCCATAATATGAAGAGTAGGCCTACGTCATGGGTGTGCACACTTTCAAAGGGATGGGAATGACAAATAAGAAACGAAAGTGCAATTTTGTAAAAGTTGAGTGCACAGAACTGATTACAGATTTAAAAACAAGGGTAGGGGCTCAYTGTGCATGCTCAGGTCTTTCTTCCAAGGCGTAGACGTCGTTTTAGATGTTTAGAAACCAGGCAATTGAGGAGGGGCAGTAACTCTGTTCTTACTGCCTCAGGGCTACATCGCATCCAGGGTGCTCTCCCGAAGAGCCTGCTACGTCCTAAAGATGGACCATTCAGCTATCCCTGCTCTGGACAAACTGGAACGGTACCTCTATGAGATGAAGGTAATTTTAGGATACCCTTAAAAATGCTCTGTTTCTGAGCCATGGAGAAATGAAGAGTGAGAGAGAAGATTAAAATATTGTACCTTCCCATGATGTGGTAGTCAACTTATCAAAAACTTAACTGTATTTCTTTCTTTCTTTGAGCTATGGAGTACATCTCAGCTCAATTTCCAGCATACAGCTTATATGTATGAACTTATAAAACATTTCAGTGTCTTTGTAGAGATGATTGATCAGATTGTCTTCTTAGAGCCAGGGTCTATGAAATAGCAACTGGCAGAACAATGAGTAAAGTTGTATATTGGATGATATAAAAGATGCAAAGAAACAATCTGATACAGTGAGAACATATAAGCCTGTACTGATGCTTCATACCTGGAGCTTAGTCATACCCCACAACTTCAAAATAGCACTAGTAATAATGAGGTCTCTCTGCAGACAGAGTGGTCAGAAAGAGAGGATGCTTTGAGATCCCTGATGACCTTGTGTTTGATAATTTGAAAGAGAGCCAGGTGAGGTGGCACATGCTGTAATTCCAGCTACTGGGGAGGCTAAGGCAGGAGAATGGTAAGTTCAAAGCCTGCCTAAGCAACTTAGTGAGATCCTGTCAGAAAGAAAGAATGAGAGAAAGAAAGAAAGATTTGGGGATGTAGTTCAGTAGAAGAGTTCTTGCCCAGTATGCTTGAAGCCCTCAGTGAAATCATCAGTATAGAAAATAATAATAATGATAATAATAATTTGAAAGAGAAAAACCAGTCAAGATTTAGAATAAGGTGCACCAGAGTTGCCAGTTTATTTTATGCTTCCTTCTCTGGTTCAGACGATAAATGTCATGTCCTCCAACAAATACACCTGGGTCAAGTACAACCCTCTGCAGTCTCTRATCACGAATGTGGACTGGTTCCTGTTTGGGTCACCCATTGAGCAACTCTGCAAACACATCCCCTTGTATAAGGGGGAAGTGGTTGAAAAGACAGGTGAGTACCAAGGAATTGTTGGTTCACCAGACCTTTTTAGAAAGCTCCTCTGTGCCAGGCCCTCTGCTAGGTGCTGTGTGAAATGCAAATAAATGGAAAGGTGACCTGACTCAGTTTACTTCAGGAATCTAGTACTTCCTCTGTGTGTGGAAATTGCACTAAATGTCATAGGCAGAGAGATGGTGAAAGGTCTGCCTCCATGGAATGTACCATCAAGTGGAAAAGGTTGAAATAGGAAAGGATTCCTGGGTGTCAAAGGACAACTATGGGGCCCTCTTTTTTCAAATGTAAGAATTTCAAGTAGAAGAAAGTCTTCTGAGCCCTCAAAATAGCGTCTTTTGGAGATGAAGGAAAGCATTAAGAAATGTCCTCAGAATCTAGAATAGAACTGATCCAGGAAACAGCAGGCCAAGGAATGAAAGCCCTGTATCATCCGGGTAACACAGGGCACTGCAGTCATTACTGAATTGTGTACAGTTTCTAAATGCAGTAGAGTACCAGAGCCAGCACATGAGAACACAGAAGAAATTCCCAGAGTAGCCAAAGGTAGATAAAAAGAAAAGGAGTAGCATTTACTACATTTTTACTGCCTGGAAAAAAAATTTCAATACCCATTAGCACTTTTAAGGCACAAAGTCTGCTGCCAACACAGAATTTACAGCATCAATTAGGTCTKAGCTGATCAATACTTCCAGGAATTGTCAATCTTATTTAAGTGAAYATGGTATTATTCTTTGCTATGCCAGAATAGCTAAAATCTTGAGTATCRTGAAGTTATAATACTTAAGATGTTTATATAAATCCTTGATTTGTTGCGCTGTAATATATTTTTAATGACCTTTTAAACTTTTCACCTTTCCAGATGAAATTGCTGCTAGAGGTTGTGCAAAGGCAGGGTTCCTGGGCATCTTGGGAATTTCCATCTGCGCAGGCATCCAAATTTAGGATGATCACCTACTGGGTTTCATCCTTTCAAAGAAATCTAACGTTGGTTTCCACTCAGAAGTCAAATTAAATTCTTTCTCAACATCCTGTCTAATTGTGAGATTCAGTAATAAAATACGTTATATTTACAGATAAATATGTCAGTTCTTTTTGTGAGCAGCAAAGGGAAGCCAAGCAATATATAGAAGGAAAAAGAGCCTCCAGGATTTCCAATAAAGTGCATAATGTGTGAAAATCCCCAGATGGTTTGGCTGCGTGTGAGTGTCCACATCTGTCTGCATCTGCTTGTGGAACCAGTTTCCCATGTGTTTGTCCCAATGCACCAAAAAGCCTGGGTGGAACAGGGGCTCAGGTAGCAGTGACTTTGACCCAGTGAGGGGGAGGGACATAGTATACTTTTATCAAAGAACTTAACTGCTCAAGTGAAGTAACTATTCCCTCTGATAAGCACTCAGCTTTGAGAGCCATTCSGACACCCTTTAGGAAATATCTTTGGATTTGCCACTGCAGTACACTGAGTAGAGTGAGTGGAGAGTGAAGGAGAAACAACTAACACCTAGGAAAAGATGTACTGTACTGGAAATCCTCATGGGAGTGAAAAATCTAACTGGGAATGCCAAGTGAATATACAGCTGGAAAGCAATTTTCAACCTTTCAAAGAAATTACACCATATGGGAAAATTCCCAGATCAAATACCTGGGTCTCATATAGTCTGGTCAGCTGGATCGCAAGTTCAGAACAAAGAGGCGCTATTTTAACATGATTCCCACCTGCTGTTGACTATTCCTCTTCCTAACACTCTACATCTGCTTCTTAATAGTCATCAACTAATACATTTTTTTAAAGCACTTACCATGTGCTCAACACTGAAACAGGTATGCAGGAGGAAGAGGCCCAGGACAGAGCTACCATAGTCAAGAAAGTTATTTTCTCACTGAGTAAATGAGGCATTTGTAGTTAAAAAACTGATAAGAGCAGTAAAATGTCAAGTAAATGGTAGAGTATTTTAGCTGGAACCTTGGTGTTTGTAAGTAATGGAACCCAAATCAAATTTTCTGACGCCAAAGGAGACTTTATTGTCTCATGTCACTAGCCTTGGAAGGAAAGGGATGTTCTGGTCTTGGGAAGCTAGAAMTCTGTGCCTGATGGTGACCAGACCCTCTTTTTCCATGTCTAAGCTTTCCTTTTTTCTACATGTCATCCTTGGTATCTTATACTGGTTTTCTCAGGAGGAAAGAACCAATAGCGTGGTCAAACCCAAGGGCCTCATGTTCCCAGCTTCATTGACCATGAAGAGAGGGTTCCTCTTAGTTCTAACTGCAAATTAGTTTTAACCTGAAAATTCTCTGGTGACGACCTTAACTGGCCAGGATTAGTGCTGGTGGCATGGGGTAAGGTCCAGGAAGGGGTGTTATGATTGGCAATCTCCTTTGGCACTTACTGCTTAGAGATGTGTTATCCCTATTCATTTTTAGAATATTGGTCTCATTTTGAAAATAGAATGCTGTGTTCTGATTTCTTCTTAACTCTCTAAATCAGTTGATTCTACTCCACACCGTTGTCTCACTGAATACCTGACAAGCAGCTGGTAGAACGTACTAGGCACATGCCTACCGGGAATGGGTTCAATGGACCACTGCCAGGAGGTTGGGACTCCATTATATTTTCTTGTAATCAGCTCCTTCTTAAGGGCTGAGAAAAGTAGATATCAGCTCTGTCAACTCACCAGAGGTTCACACCATAGAACCTCTCTGGGCCTCAAGAGGGAAACACACGTGGTTCCTCCCATTCGTGTTGTAGCATTTGACCTTGGGAAGGGACAGGCCAAGAATCTGTCCCTCACACCTCCCATTTATGGTGCAGCCCACCCCTTAGCTTTCTTTGGAAAAGGTAGCTTGGCATATTGTAGGACATGGTGTTAGGCATGCAATGCCTGGCCAATGAATGGCCTTGTTCATGACCTTGGGAAGCTTCACTTTTCTGTTTGCCCCAAATTAATGACTAGAATAGGGAGAATCTGAGGTGCTCACCAGCCCCCTCCAGTCTGAAGTGGACCACACCTTAAGAGTCCTGCAGGCTGTGTTTAAGTGCTGCCTAGAGTTCTCCAGCACAGTCACCTGTTGACCCTCTCCACGCCCTTGTGGCTGACGGGGTGTGGGCAGGATATTGCATGAAGAAACTTTCTGGAGTGTTGGGAAAGTTCTACAGATTCATCTGCGTGACGGCTACATAGGGGTACATAAGTTCAATTCATTGAGCTGCRCTTTTCAATATGCTCTTCATTGTATTTTTTACCTCAATAAAAATGTTGATGTATTTTTAACATTTAAAACACAACTGAACAAGAGAAGGCCCACCCCTYTATAGCATTCTCAGGAAACACACAGGGTGGTGATTTCTGTAGCCCTCAACAGTMTTGGAAGTCTTGAGCTCCAGTCTCAAGTGCTCAGAGCCAGGCCTGAGGACTCCTCACTGTGGTCCTTCTTCGGGGCCCAGGAGGGTGTAGGCACATGGACAGCTGCAGCTCTTCAGGGGTCTGCCTGCACTCATGGCCTGGTGAAAGGCCTCATGGGAGTAGCCGTGGACACTATGCAGGCTGAGCTATGGGGAGTCTCCAGCCCAGGCATGCAGTAGGAGGACCAGCAGCATGTTCCAGGCAGGATCTGGGCACTAGTGGCTCCTGATCCCTTAGGAAACTGAGTGGGCAGAAAATGAACACTSGGCAGCAACAGCCTGGGGCAGGCAAACCAGCCCACTCATATTCAGACCTGAGTTTGGAGTCWGTTGGCTCATCCCAGAAGCTGCTGAGAAGCAGGAATGGTGGKGAAAGTTAGAGGTGACACCATCTGGGGTGACCCAAATTAATTACTATGATGAGGAGACTTTCTCCATAAGGGGGACAGTTAAGGAATGAGCACTAAGAATCCAGGTCCCTTATTAATTTGCAATGGACTACCTGGGGGTCATCACTGAAGGGTTCAGACCAGTTCCCAAGAGGGGCTKGCTTGCTCACTTTCAGAGATGATTATGGTGCAGGCTGGGCCACTACAGGAAACGGGATTCTCTGGAATCTTAACTCCAATTTTCAGAAGACTGCAGACCCGAYATTGAGTTTATTCTATGGCTAGTGTCTTTATTTCTTTGTTTATTGCCAAAATTCTCAAGGAATTCCTCAAGGAATATCCCAGAGAGATGTTTCGAGATGAGACATCCTGCCACATGTGGTAATGCACACCTGTAACCCCATAAACTCAGGAGGCTGAGGTAGGAGGATCATGAGTTCAAAGTCAGCCTCAAAAACTTAGCAAGGCCCTGTCTCAAAATAAAAAAAATAATTTTTAAAAGGCTGGGGATATGGATCAATGGTTAAGTACACCTGGGTTCAATCCCCAGTACCAAAAATAAAGAAGGAAGAGGAGGAGGAAGAGGAAGAGGAGGAGGAGGAGGAGGAGGAGGAGGAAGAAAGAAGGAAAGGCGATACATCCCAAGAGAGGGAGCTCCTCCTTTGCACCATGCCCATGTGTGATTTTCTAGGTTGCACGTGGCTTGCAATGTTGAGAGGACAGTGCAGACAGGTAGGGGCCCATCTGCTAGATCAGTAATGAAAGAAGCTTTATTGTTCTAATCCAGAGGAAGAGGGTCTATCCATTTTCCCAGATTTCAGAATGGGGTACTGGATGGAAAGAAAGAAGATGGAGATCTGAAATGAGCAGCTTCACATAGGCAGAGGCGAGGCTAGGTACCTGCCCCAGGCCAGCAGCCCAGGCCAAGTGGGTCCACTCTTCATGCAGCTGACCTGGAGGTTCAGAGTCCAGGAATCTCACCACAGATGGAGAGTCCCATAAAAGATAGAAGCTGGATTGCAAAACAGGAAGTAGGGTCRACTGCCAGGGCAGTACCTTTAAAAAGAAAGAGAAGCATTTTATGAGCTGCACYTGGTGCTCAGCAGAGATGCGGAACCTTGGAAATGGAAGGTTCTACCTTCTCCCCTCCCAAGATAATAAGTGCCTCTACCTCTCTATTTCTTTTACTGACCCATAACTATCCTCCTTAATCCTCTAGCCCCTCCCTCAAGTTCTCCTGAATCCTTTTTCATTGGTAAACTTATACTAAGGTATAAATGACTGGCAATAGCCTAAAGGAACAAGTGTCCTGGTCATATACAGACGAGGGTGAAGATCATGAAATCTTATCTGGTAGCTTTTCAAKCTGAGGTCACATCCCCAAAAGGGGTGCCAACCACTGTGTTGTTCCTTTCCCAGTGTGGTCTGTAACTATTTGGGTCTTACCTCTCCAGCCTTCTTGAGAACAAGAACCCCAAATGGGACTCTAACTCACAACAGACTCCATGATGCTTGGGCATGATGTAGCCTTGAGTCAGGGGAGGACATCCATCAACTGTCAAATCCCTTTGATGAGATAGCTGACCTTGACCTTCTGGTGAAGCTAACTCTGCTCCTCATTCTCAGTGATTCCTAGTGTCAAGAAATCATCTCTGCCAGCAGGGGCAATACATCCTGGGCCGTGTGATTTTTATACCATTCACAAAGAAATGGAATCAACTATCGCTAAATTATGCCAATACCCTACTGCACCTTTTGACTCACCCAAGGTCTTGGATTTGTTAACACACCTTCTTTCTGTTGATGAGCAAAGTAGGTGGGGACATCTCTGCACAGGTCCTTGATGAGAATTCCATACTGAGCTAAATTCTTGATCCGGCTAGGTAAAACAGTATAGGTCAGGCCGTGGGTGGATGGGTAATGACTGGAATCCTGAAAGAAGTGGCATGTTAAAATGGTGAGACAGCATATAGAGATGGAACAAGAAGGAGGAAGAAATGAAATTCTGGGGCCCTGGTCCTCAGGTGAGTGGCAACAGGATGTGTTTGATTCAATGCACAGAACTAGGCTGTGAACCCAACCTGTCCTAGAGTTCAGTCTCAGACAGCAATATCCCATCTAGCCACAAGGAGGCGACATTACTCTAGAAAAATTTGTAGGTTTGAGTGATCTGGTGACTTCCTGTCTCTTCCTTTCATTCTCTAATGCTTTCTCATCTCTGATGATAATATAGAGTAGATAAAAATTATTTGTTGCATTTACATGTTTTTCTTGTTAATTCAATCAATGGGCTATTTTAGACTTCTCTAAGAATATAAGTTGCTTTATTTTTATGTGACATGAAATCTATTTTTATTTTTTCCCCAAAGTCAGGAACCCTTCCTGCCAGTGTTCCCAAATGTGCTCTGCAGTTTTCTTAGCAAATGAGTAGATTTCAAAGAATTTCAAAGGACTTCCTTTAACTTATCTTAACAATTCTTGTCATTTAAGTGGTTAAGGAAGACAGATTCAGCAGTCTTGGGCTCATTTTCATTTAAAGTTAATACTTGTGTATTGTYTGGTGGTGGGAAGGGAAAGATAGAAGGTAAGGTGATGTGAATATTATATTAAGTCACTCTGATATTTACAGTCGACAACTCACATTCACTACCATGTAGCAAGAACCCTTTGATGAATACCAATATCGAAAGGTGGTCACTGCAAGAAATTTTCGTTGATTCAGTTATAATTTGACTTGAAGAGGCCATTTGTATAACGTTGTAATTTCATGGGCATTAAGAGCAAGCATGAGCTAAGTCACTCCTTATGCACAGAATTGTCCTAGGAGGTTGAGGTAAGTTGGAAAACATCAGGGTAGGAGGGGACCAGAGTGACCTGGTCACACTTACCTGCCTGCGTAGGGCCATGCCAATGTCATCCAAACTTGGGAAGATTGCTTGGTCCATCTTGGCAAGAACACAGGCCATCACACTAAACAGCTTAGCCACAAAGAGGGCCTTTAAGTAACACAGAAGAAACATGTTATTCATTCAATCACAATAGTAATAGGTACCCACTCTCTGCAGGGACTGACATCCAGCTGTTCTGACTGTAGTGTAGAACACACCAGCATCGTGCTGATCTGAACATGGAGCAGAGGTTAGCACCAGTACCAGTAGCAGTGCATACCAAGCCCTGCAGCTCTCCAGGCCTAGTGGCACTGTCCCCTGCTATTTTTGCTAGAGAGGGTTCACTCCCCAGGAATCCCCTTGGGCACTCTGCAGCCACTAAGAGACAGGTGGGCCCAGAAGCACAAGGAGTTAGCTCTGGTAAAACCATTCAGTTGAAGGTCCTGTTCTGCCACTCAGCAGTCATCAGGGTACTCAGTGGCCTCCCTGCTTATCAATTTCTTCATCCATAAAGCAGAAATAATGACTCCATTCCTACAGTGTTGTCATGGAGATGACAGGGTGAAACGAGATGCTAGCTGCTTGTGAGAGCATTGGCAAGTTTACTGAGTACTTGCTGAAGGTACAGGGCTATTAGGAGTTCTGGATCCAGACCAATAGACTTAGAATCTAGCACCAGGCCTGCCCTGGGTATCCGCTTTTGTATGGCCCTGGGCCTGTCATTTRGTCTCTCTAGACATGGATTAGAGATGCAGACTCTTGCAGCTGTATCTGACTAAGGCCCATGGTGAATCCTCTCCAGCAATGGTGTTGACTTCCTGTGCTCTGTAGAGTGTGCAGCTGTGGAATATTTTATTGAAGAAAAGTTTCCACGGCTTTCAGTATCGATGATGATCACTAGACTGTGTGCCCTCTAGGAGGATTCCAGAGAGGTCTCCTAGAAGGAATCGGGAATGGGCTAGGTGAAGAGTGGAGGAAGGGTCAGGAGAGAGAACATGGTGGGGATGGGTGAGAGTAGAGGGGACGCCTGGGGTCAGGGCTCCATCCTGAACTGTCCAGAGTGGCTGGAGAGAACGTGACAGAAGTGGGTGGGGGAAGGCCTGGATGGCAGAGGGCATGAAGAGTGTGAGCTTTTACTTCAAAGCCCTGCCAGGGTGGCAAGGCAGTTGTTGAAGCTGTTTTGCAGATATGGCAACTAAGGCCCACAAGGCAGAGTGAGGTTCCTGAGATGAAGGTGCTTTTCTATAAGAGAGCAAACCCAAGGACATGGGTGCTCCCTTCCTGATCTTGCCTCTTTCTGCTAGCACTTGGTACTCAAAGAGATGGCAAGGTGCAGCCAGATTTCGAAAAAGAAAAAGAAAAAAGAAAGAAAGAAAGAAATACATTGCTCTTCTTTAGAAATAGACAATAAAACCTGGAGTCAAGACAAAATAACTTTCATAGCATATCTCAGTTACAAGACATGAGGGTTCTTTATGTGGCCTTCTTAGGATTTTGGCAGCCATATACAGTCAACAACTCACAGAAACCCAAAGGGATGCAGGAACCCCAGACCAGTCTCCTACATTCTCTGGCTCATAAAGAAGACACTGCACCTTCAGTAAAGCTGGTCCCTTACCTAAAGGCATGCATTTCTATTGAGGACCTAAACCTGGAGAAGGCAAATGAAGACAGTGTCCTCTTCTCTCTGGAAAAGCATTGAGCTACATTTGGGACCAGACAAGACTTCCTGTGGCATTGTAATGAATGTGTTTCACATCTTACATTCTTGTAGTCCAAGATTCCATCCCATTGACTCAAAACATTGTTGTCTCGGATGCTGACCGTACCTCGGAAGGCGTTGATATGGATGAGTTGGGTCCCAACAGATCCATCCAGAGGATGGCTGTCACTGATGTTCTAGAGAAAACCAAGCAACAGTGAGAAGAGTCAAAAGCCCAGAGTATTCTGTAAGTTGAAGGGTGACCCATATGAAATTTGAGGGATGTCACTCTGATTATCACCTTGGAAATATTTCTGCCCAAAGGGGACTAGACAGATGGGACCCTCTTCACTCGACTTACCCTGAGGGCCAGAGATGGAGTTAGGAAGAAGACCACGAGTATGGAAGATGCAGTCTGAAATGGGAACAAATACCAATGCACTTTTTCTTTAACTTCAGATGACAGTCCACAGTCTCAGGCACTGCTGGGGCAGAGCCTCCTTAAAGTGATTTATAATTTTCACTGTCTCTCATGCCCACAGGGCTCCAGTGTGTACCAGGAGACAAGTTCAATATGGTTGAATGGGGTATTCTGGCTTCTCAGGAGGCAAAGCTTTATCATTCACTCAAAAACACTTACTGGTTTGCTTCTGCAATCAATCATTGGGATGAATATTAGGCAATCTGACAGACCTGCATACAGGGTCTGTCCGATTGCCTAACAATCTGCACACAGGGTAGGGCCATCCTAGGCCAAATGTAATAGTAGTCACAATTCCAGGCCTCCGTCTCCTTTAGCTGCACCTTCTTCTCTACTTCCAGCCACTGGTCTAGATCGTTATCCAAACCCCAAATTACATTTTTGGTCCTGCCTTGCCCTATGCACCCACTTAGAAACAGATATCCTTTTGATTTCCTTTCCTCTGGATTCTCTCAGCTTGCTTAAAAATAAAAGACCAATCGCCAGTTATTTTTACCTTATTTTGAATAGATTGTATTCAAATGTGACCAGTTCTTAAAATACTGGTTGCTGATCATTTCCTTTCTGKGTGGCCTGGCTTGCCATACAGGTATTTCAGGCATCAGAGAAGAAGTGAAAGAGAATTAGTTGGGGGTGGCAATAGGCTAAGGTGAGAAAATGGAGCAATGAACCCTTCCCTATATTCCACAGCTCATTATCTGATATATTCAGACTCACTTGGCTCAAGTGCACTTCCATATCAGCTGGAATTGACAGGCACTGCCCCTCTCCCCCATCCCCATGACAGCCCATGAAATACTCCAGGGGCAATTCCTACAGTAAAAGGTGAGATATGTCTTTGAAGAAGAAGTCAATAGCTAATCGACGAACAGTAATCATAGTGTGGTGAGGTCAGTCAAGGAGATAATGGAGATGCAGATGACAAAATTACTGATGCCATATATAATATACATCTGAAGATTTCCTGTACTGGCAATTTGTAAATAAGATAAACTCAGGAAGACAGGACCTTAAAATATGCACCTACCCAATGCCGAAAGAGTCCTGAAACTTAAGAAATTGGTTATTAGTTTCCTTGGTGAACACTCTTCTTTCAGATACTAAAAAACAGAATGGTAGCCAAGCCCAGTGATGCATGCCTATAATCCCAGCGGTTCAGGAGGCTGTGGCAGGAGGATCAAAAGTTCAAAGCCAGCCTCAGCAACTTAGAGAGGCACTTAGCAACTGAGCAAGACCCTGCCTCTCTCTACATATGGGCTGGGGATGTGGCTCAGTGGTTAAGCACCTCTGGGTTCAATCCTCAGTAYAAAAAAACAAAACAAAAAMCCAGAATGGTATGTGCCAAAATAAGATTTGAAAATTCTATTTGGATTTAATTGGAAGAGTCCAGTAGGGTAGAGGAGAACTTCTCACTAGCTATTTTATGTTCCGAGGGTAAAACTACTTATTTAAAATTAGAAAATGTACTTACAAGGTGTTTCATGTTGTCTCTCTCTCTCTCAGACCTTGTGCAACTGCTTTCATAATAGGATTTTGTATGTCCCACTTAATTCTAAATCTGGTTTATATAGCCCTAGACTTTGCAACTATTGCCATAATAAGGGTATGTGGGAGTAGCTAACCATGATCCAAATACCACTTGGGAGAGAGAGAAAGTTTATGTAATTATACTTATCACTTTTCTTTGAGTTCATCTAAGTATTTTCCTTTCTTCCTGATACCACCACCGGTTCCAAGGCAAACATAGGAAATGAAGGAGGCCTTGTGGGCTGGCATATCCATGACCTTAACTGCTAAGGTAAGGATTACAAACAGTAGACCTGCACAAAATGACCCAGATACACAATCAATGAGCTCACTGTTTCTACTTGTCAATTTCTGAAGTTTTTTTTTTAATTATTATGTTTAATAACAGGGTGGTTGGGAGAAACCTTATGAAGCCCAAAGAGGCAGACTGAGTTCAATTAAGATTAAACTGGTTGAAAATCAATCTGGTCCAGCTCTTCATCCAAACCCCAAAGCACATGGTTTGCACTGCCCTCTGCCCACCCAACAAGCTGACCTAAGTTCACCTCTTCCAACATCTGCCTCTGGTTGACTTTCCTGATATTCTGAAATTTTATTCTCATTATAGGACTCTCTCCTCCCAGCTTTCATTTCAGGGTGTTGTTTTTTTTTTCCATAAAGGACACTTTGACCGGCCCAGAACCCTTGATACATGGGGAACCGTGACCTTCATGTTACAAGTTAAGCACCAATTTAGGACTTTTCACACATTGTCTTCATTTTCCTTAAGTTCTGATGTGGTGGCCCAGTGACCTGGATCAAATACCTTAAGGTGAGAACTAAACTGATATTTTTTTATGAGAGAAGAAGAGCTAATCAGGTGAGGCTGGCACTGGAGTGATCCAARAGGAAAGATAGGCAGCTCAGTCCTTACTTAATGCAATTGGCCATAGTACTTTGAATAGATGGACATGGTCATCCAGGGCTCAGATAATATCATTCTCATATCTCCATTGCTCTCAGTACTTTAAAAATTTACAAATGATATATTCAACCATTATTGACTAAGTAAGTAAAATGGATTAAAAGGATAACTTTTAGAGACTAACAAAAAGTGCTGTGCTATGTCTCTAAATAGGTAATGACAATAAGGGAGAAATAAAAGTTAAGCCATTTTTATTTTAGCCCAGGGAGTTTGTGAGAAGCTTAATAGAGCCATCAAATTTCGAAGGAAGAAGGGATCATGAATTGTCATGTGGATTCGCTAATGAAAACTTTGTAGGAATCAGGAAGGATGGTGATTCTTAGAAAATCAAAAGGATGTATAAATCACCTTACAACTTATAAATCAACTTCATAGTCATGATTTTATTTGCTCCTTATTACAACTCTATGGGTTAGGAGGAATAGTAAATGCTAATCCATTTTTACAAATGAGGATATGCAGTCAATAGATTAACAAGTATACATGAACTAAGTTCAATTTCCAACTCTGCATTAATCAGATCTATTATTGCAGAGCTAAAATTTGAACTTGAGTTTCTGGACCTTGAAGTTTCTAATTATGGGCAGTTCCCCCACCAAATGTAAGGCCTTTTGGAGTTTGTTAGCTTCAGAACATAGATTAAAAGAGCAAGGATCCCGGTGGAACAAATGATCTGCTTTTATGTCCCTATATATAGTTTTCTGTTTTTCAGAAACTATGTTGAGCAACTAATTTTGTTGGAGTCTCTCTTGATGYAAATGGAAAGAAACCAAGAGTCATTCAAGTTGCAGACAACCAAGTGCCATGCCTCTTGCYCTAAGTTCAGGTGTAAGGAGTGAAGGATCCAGAGTTAAAGGAAGCTGTATCGTAGTGAGAGAACCAGCAGGTGGTTCCAAATGAGCCTCCAGTCCTGGAAAGATCTGAAATGGAGGGAATCCAAACAAAAAGAGAATAGAGTTCCAAAAGGAAGGAAGATAGAGAGATAAGACCTCAAGGAATTAAAAAGCTACGTCGGACAACCCATCACCTCTGAGGTCCCTACTATTTGACATCTGTTGTTAACTGGAGGGCAGTCATTTAATTCTTCTCTTCAAATGTCCTCCAGGAGGATCAGCCTCTAGGGTCAYCCTTGTCATCTTGTGTTGGGATAGCTTCACAATCAAATGCCTTATGTAAATGAAGTTATTCTTAAATGCAATTATTATTATTATAATGATATCTGAGTACTTGTTAGAGTACTGGCATGTAAGTTTGCTAATAAATAATGATTCGATTGCATATTGAAATCTGCATTCAGTTCTGCAAAGACCAATRGTCATGTACCATGCAAAGAGGAATATTTCACCAATAAAGTTAAACCATGGAATCTCACTGAGTTTTTTTTTTTAATTTTATTGTTGGTTGTTCAAAACATTACATAGTTCTTGACATATCATATTTCACACTTTGATTCAAGTGGGTTATGAACTCCCATTTTTACCCCATATACAGATTGCAGAATCACATCGGTTACACATCCATTGATTTACATATTGCCATACTAGTGTCTGTTGTATTCTGCTGCCTTTCCTATCCTCTACTATCCCCCCTCCCCTCCCCTCCCCTCCCCTCTTCTCTCTCTCTCTACCCCCTCTACTGTAATTCATTTCTCCCCCTTGTTTTTTTCCCTTTCCCCTCACTTCCTCTTGTATGTAATTTTGTATAACCCTGAGGGTCTCCTTCCATTTCCATGCAATTTCCCTTCTCTCTCCCTTTCCCTCCCACCTCTCATCCCTGTTTAATGTTAATCTTCTTCTCATGCTCTTCSTCCCTACTCTGTTCTTAGTTACTCTCCTTATATCAAAGAAGACATTTGGCATTTGTTTTTTAGGGGTTGGCTAGAGTTTTGGCTCAAAGAAAGTTTAGAAAGCACCCCCACTTCCCCACTACATACTCTCCTCTGTCTTCTAATCCATTCTTAAATTCTTCCAATCTCACCATTTAAATTCTCAAAAGTCCTGCAAACATTTTCATGACTCAATTGCCATTAACCTTTGTCTCCCTGCCTTCTACTTATTTGCAACCCATTCCAGATGCTGACCAAATATTCCTCTCCACTTTCCCACATACATAGCCCATGCTTTCCTAACTCCATGCCTAGGTCCATTCCTGGAGGTTCCCTATTCTACTTCTTTCCCTTCTTTCTTCTTCAAGCTAAATTTGAACAGCAGCCCCTTTCCCCCATCTTTGCTTCACTCACAGCCAAATGTGCTCTCTTCTTTGGAAACATTTTAGTTCTCTTCTTGTACTTTACTTTTTCTATTTATATTTTTGTGGTGTTATACRTATTCATATAGTTGTGTGAGCAGGTCTTCAAATTGCACATTGATGCCACTTGGCTGTAAACTTCATGAGGTTAGAGATTCTGTTTTGTTCTCTGCTGTTCTCAGTACTCCCACGCAGAGGAGATACTGAAAGTTACATATGTTAAATGAACGAATGAATGGATTATGGTACTGATATATTATTCATCTTTATACCTCCTGGAGTACTTAGCAGTATCTGGCAAATAACCAGCATGCAGTAAATATTTGTTGAATTGAATAGCAAATAATGGAATCAAGTATTTAATGCCAACGTGAATGAGGAAAATAATTAAAGTCTGAACAGAATAGCATGTTCAACAAGAAAAAATGGCCCTCTTTACAAGCTCCAATTATAGGGCTAGCAGAGAGACATAATTAATATTTTTGTCCCTAGATTTGAGGTTAGAAGGTGAAGAAAAAAAACCAAAGCCAGACATCTGCAAAGCTGATTGCCTTTTATCTTGCATCCTGGAAACTTTGGCAAGACCAAAGCTCCTTTGCCCGGATTCCTTGTCCTGCTTGCTGTTTGCTAAACCTGCTTTGATTTTTCTCCTTAATGTACCTACTGACTGTTGTAAAACCAGAAACTTCCTCATCCTCACTTTCTTGTCTCATTCTAAAAYGCAGACTTCTCCGTTCATCCCTGAAACTGCACTGATATTTAACTAGTCTTTTCACGTTGGCAGAACTCACTGGAAATCAAAACTCAGGATATTTTTTTTTAATTAGTCAAGATTCACCCATGTGCTATCTACTGTATTGCTTCCCTAATCCCTAAGCAAATGCAAAATGTAAATCAATATTCCAGTCATATCATTATGGTCACCAACAGTGTCTTGTTCTATTGGATTGTGTTTAATCCATTCTTTCCACAGATTGTGACACACAGTGCATCTGGCCCTTTTCATGCAGRTGCCACTTGTTTTACATTCCTGTGTTCAGTCATGATTATGTCCATTGGTTATATCCATGATTATGTCCATGATTATGTCCATCTCTGCTTACTTYCTCTACTTTTACGATGTCCCCTCTCAGGTCCCTGTGCCTCCTTCATTCCTATATACATTCAGAAACCTGGGATCCCCGCCTTCCAGGCCACCAGCTGCCCTGACCTCACTGTGCTCCTGCTAACTCTTCCCTTTCTGGCTCCATTTTCCTGGATGTCCCCTCTGTCATTTCTTTAGACCTTCCCTTCCTGGATCTCAGGCCCTAGTATTTTTCTCTAAAGCAGCCACCTCTGAGCAGGCACAATTGTTTAGCAAACATTGCCTTGCTGTACCCTGAGGTACTTATCTCCAGGTCCACAAAACCTCACATTGCTTGGTTTACCCCATTTATTTCTGAAGGCCATCCTGGGTAAATGAACAGCCAGTATCTCTAGGTCACTCCGTCTTCTTAGGCAAGGACATTGTCTTTTATACAGCTTAATTCCCATATTACTAAACTTTTTATTCAAGTAAAAACTTTAAATAACTTGATCATTTTTCCTCTTTAATGAGAGCCCACCAGTATTTGGATCGCTGGCCTCCATGAATACATCCAAGTCATTACCTCCAAGTCAAGATTTGGGTTACTTTATTGATCTGGCTTACTTTCAGGCATATGCCAAACAGCAATCTGATTTGGGTAGGCTCCTGGAAGGTCTAA